TGTCTCTACATCATATGTAAATACCGTATCAGCTCATATATGGCATAACAGGCTTGGCCATCCATCCTTTAGACGTTTAGATACTTTGAAACACCATTTGAATTGTGATGTATCTAAATTGAATAAAGCTGATCATTGTTACATCTGTCCTCTTGCAAAACAGAGACGATTACTTTTTGATTCTCACAACCATTTGTCTAAGCTTCCATTTGACTTAGTGCATTGTGATGTTTGGGACCTTATCATATTCCCTCTCATGTTGGTCACAATTATTTCCTCACCTTGGTGGATGACTGCACACGTTTCACATGGATTTATATGTTGAAGCAAAAGTCTGATGTTAGCACTATAATTCCTAGATTTTTTAACATGATATCCACTCAGTTTAATAAAGGAATCAAGACTTTCAGATTTGATAATGCACTTGAGCTGAGCTTCACTGAATTCTTCAATAGTAGAGGCGTGTTATATCAGTTTTCATGCATTGAGAAACCCCAACAAAACTCAGTGGTAGAAAGGAAACATCAACATATCCTCAATGTTGTACGAGCACTATCTTTCAATCATGAGTTCATACTCAATTTTGGAGTGAATGTGTCCTTACTATAGCCTACCTTATTAATAGAACACCTTCTCATTTGCTTAAACACAATACTCCCTATGAAATTCTACACAAACACTCAAAAGACTACTCTAATTTCAGGGTGTTTAGATGTCTTGCATTTGCATCAACACTTAGTGCTCATAGAACCAAATTACAACCTCAATCCAGAGTCTGTGTATTCCTTGGTTATCCACCAGGCGTGAAAGATGACAGATTATATGACATTGTATCAAAACAAATCTTCATTTCCAGATATGTCCTATTTCATGAAGAAATTTTTCCATTTCTTTCCATTACTTCCTCAGATGACTTAATTGACCATTTCCCCGATCTTGTCTTACCTATTCATTCCCTTGAAAATTCTTCCACTACCCTCTCTCTACTTTCCAATCAACATATAACTCACGACATTCCACCTACTTCCTAGGATAATATTGAGACTTCAGTTACTGATCCACTGCATTCCAATTCTTTTCCAGATAGACCTAACCTAAGAAGATCTACTAGAACTCCAAAACCTTCTTCCTATCTGAGAGAATTCCATTGTAATCTCTTATACCAAAAATCCTGTAATCCTGAATCTTCTCCATGCACCAGTACATACCCTATATCTAGACACTTATCCTATAATTCCTTATCTCATGCGCACAGAAACTTCATTTTAAATGTTTCATCTCAATTTGAACCTCAATATTACCATCAAGCTATGAAGTTTCCACATTAGAAGCCTGCAATGATAGCTTAATTAAATGCTATGGAATCAAATGACTCTTGGTCGTCACTTCATTACCTGTCGGGAAACATTCTATTGGTTGTAGATAGATTTACAAAATCAAGTACAGATCAGATGGTACCATTGAAAGACACAAAGCATGCTTAGTTGCTAAAGGATATACACAACAAGAAGGTTTGGATTACAATGATACATTTTTCCTTATAGCAATGCTTGTTACAGTTAAAGTTTTGTTGGCACTTGCTTTTAGTCACATATGGCATTTCGCACAACTTGATATAAACCTATGATGCACCGACATGGACACGTGTGTCCGATACGATACGTGTCGGATACGCCGACATGCGATTTTTAAAAAAAGTATAGAAATGACACGTCATCGATACATTAATTAAATTCTTAAAAATTCTTCATTTATATAGTATAAGTTTAGTTTTATACTTGTTATTAATTTTTCTTGTTAAAATCTTTTAAACATGAGTACCTATTTGTTACTTGCAAATAACTTTGAATTAACAATATATAATATTTCTAATATAAAAAGAAAAACGATTACGGTAGAGTATTCGAGAAGTGGCGGTATCGACTCGTGTCTGAGAGGACACACTACCCTAATTGAAGTGTCCGTACTACATAGATGTAAACAATGCCTTCTTTAATGGTTTGAAGAAGTATATATGGACCTTCCATTTGGTTATAATATGAACAGGGAGTCTCCACCACAGCAGGGCAAATTGGTTTATAAACTCACAAATCAATATATGGCCTTAAGCAGGCTTCAAGACAATGGTACTCCAAATTCTCTCAGGCTCTTAGTCAGTTTGGGTTTGTTCAGTCCATGGTAGATTACTCCTTATTTACAAAAGGATCAGATGCTTCATTTGTTGCCCTAATAGTCTATGTGGATGATATAATAATTACAGGTCCAAACAATCAGGTAATACATGCCTTAAAGGCTTTCCTCCAAATGTAATTCAAGCTCAAGTATTTGGGGCATCTCAAGTATTTTCTTTGTCTTGAAATCGCCCATTCTGCCAAAGGCATTATCTTATTACAAAGGCATTATGCTCTCCAGCTTCTTGAAGACACGAGTTATCTTACGTGTAAGCCTACATCTGTTCCTATGGACCCTAAAATTCGGTTAAATGCTCGTGAAGGTGAAGTCCTTGCTGACATTTCTCAATATAGATGAACAGTTGGGCGTCTACATTATCTTACCTTGTCCCAACCATACATCACTTATTGCTATCCACAAACTTAGTCAATTTTTGGCTCAACCTCATACGCCTCATTTGAAAGCTCTATATCATCTCTTGCGATATATTAAATCCAGTCCTGGATAGGGTTTGTTCTTTTCCTCCTCATCTTCTTCTCATTTGAAAGCCTTTTTGAACACCGATTGGGGCTCATGTCCAGACATCAGGAAATCGAGGACTGGCTTCTGCATATTCTTGGGTGATTCACTAGTGTCATGGAAAGCAAAGAAACAGACCATCATTTCTCGTTCCTCAGCATAAATAGAATATAGAGCATTAGCTTCCACAACTTCTGAAATTGTTTGGTTGCACTAGATGCTGACAGATTTCCAAGTAGAGGTGTCATCCCCAGTACTTTTATTATGTGACAACAAAGCTGCAATTCACCTAGCATCCAATCCCATTTTTCATGAACGCACCAAATATATCAAGATTGATTGTCATTTTATTCGAGACAAAGTTACTAAAGGCTTCATTAAACTCCTGCCTAACCGATCTCAACATCAACTTGCAGATGCTTTTACCAAAGCTCTTCCTTCTTCTTCCTTGTTTCCTCTCTTATCCAAGATGCTGTCAAAGATATCCACACTCCATCTTGAGGGGGCGTATTAGATCATCTAGCTAATCTAGCTGGCTAATTCTATTAATAATTGTATTAATTAGTTAGTAATAAAGTTGTCATGCTAGTAAATAACGAGCTGATGTGTAAGTAATTTTGGTTAGTCTGTTTCTCAGTCTGTCTATTTATATTGCTGGTATTGTATTACACGGTTTGTAATATATGAAATTATGTTCAGCACTTATTCTTCTCTTCAAACGTTGATACCTTCATTTACAAAGCAATACGGAGTTCAAATAACAATTCGAAGCGGTTTTCATGATAAATTCTTTGATCTGAATCAATATCAAGCCACAGGGTCAAATTTGACTGTTGGACAAGGAATGTTCTGGACAAGTTGCCCATTTTGCACTAAAAAATTCCAGTACATGAGAGTATGTGAACAAATTTTTCATTGCCCTAACTGCTTAAATCCATTAATTGGTTATGATATAGGTGCTCAAGGTATTTCCTCAAGATTCAAATGCAATCAAACTAGTGCTCCACATGTGTTTCCAAAACAGAGCTGGACTAAACATGCTGTTTCTCGACAAATGGTAAACCCAAGTCAGGGTGCCCCTGAAGAAATAAGATTCCCAACTCCTGGTGTAGGATCTCAAGGGATTGTTAGTAATAAAATGGTGAGGTCAGAATCAGGCATATAGACAGAAAGCACTGGTAAGGTCAGTGAGGATGTGAAGGTGAAAGAAAAAAGAGTCAGAATGTCAATTCAATGAGTGGTGGAAAAGAATGGGGTGGAATTCCCAATAGTAATACAGCGACTATAAAATCAGGAGATGTGAAAAACAAAAGGAGGAAAAAGGGCAGCACGAGGATAGTTGAATGTAGTGAGAGTGGGGAGACACCTAGTGTTGACACGGACGACGTGCCTGCTGGCATGAGAGATTCTGAGCCTAACTATTTTCAATTTATATGAAGATCAATCCGGCAAAGTAAGCATATCTCACACATTGAAATTGATGATGATAATGAGCACAATGACTTTGCTATCTCTTCTAAGAGATCACGGGGTGATAGTAAAGTGAAACAAGATGACACTATAGATACTGATGACTTGAAGTGTGGTAATGTTATTACAAGTTGTTTTCCTATAGATGCAGATAATGATAAGTCCAAAACAAAACAAATGGGAACTTCTTCTGAAGAAAGCCTGCCGACAAGAATACTGCGAATGAAGAACTCAATTTTAGAGGAGGAGCAGGTAATATGCCAAGAACTGGTGCCCAAAAAACTGAAGAAATTGATGATTCTCAATCAGATTCGAATGCGAAAATTTTTGAGTGTCCTGATCCAGAATTTCATGATTTTGGTAGGGGTAGAGAGGAAAGTTGTTTGCTGTTGGTCAAATTTGGGCTTGTTACAATTCATTAGATGTCATGCCAATATTATATGCTCAGGTCAAGAAGGTAAATAGTCCTGAATTTAAATTGAAAATCACCTAGTTAGAAGTTGTAATTGAAGATGAATGTGAGACAAATTGGGGTAGCAAGGAGTTACCTATTGGTTGTGGCAGATTTAAGTGTGGGAAGACTCAGTACGCTTTAGAATGTCTTTCATTCTCTCATCAAGTGCCTTATGAGAAGGGTAAGAAGAAAGGTTCTTTAGTCATATATCCTAGGAAATGGGAGATTTGGGCTCTTTTTAAGGACTGGGATGTAAGATGGAGTTGCAACCGAAGGAATCCGAAACTTTTTAAATATGAAATTGTAAAGGTTCTCTTAAATTTTGTCACAGGTCATGGTATGCTTGGATAACGTTTGTGGATTTGTGAGCTTATTCCAGCGAACGAGGGAGGGTGAGATGGATTCATTTCCGATAGGACCCAATGAATTGTTTAGGTTCTCCCATCAAATTCCTTGTTTTAGAATGCCTGGCACCGAAAGACGAGTTCCAGAAGGTTCTTTTGAACTAGAACCTAATTGCCTACCTCTCAATCCTGATGATTTGAGGTATCCTAGTATGGCTAAGGTATGTAGTGGAAACGTGTATGAGCATATCTCATACAGTGAAAGTGGTGATGATGGCGAACATGATGACATTCCTATCTCTCCAAAGAAATCGCAGAGTATAGATGGTAGTACTAGTAAAGAGGGACGAAAGGATACTCTAGATTCCAAAGACTTGATGTATGGTAATGCAAGAAATTTCCCTACCAATGCAAATAATGTAATGTCCAAAATGAAACAAATGGATACTGAAACTGAAGTGTTGCAATTATTCAATGCAATCATGCTAAGAACAAAAATCACATATATTAATTGATAATTCGAAATTCATACATGCGGAAGACATTGTTATATATGAATATTACCGGCTAGATCTTCCTCTCTTTGCTTCTCAAAATAATCGGCCTTCAATGGGGCAAGCCAAAACGTTATGGAGGGGAGAGGGGACCTAACTATTATATAGGAAATCATAAAGTTGGTCAATTACCGACTCTAACTCTAATTAGGGTTTACTTAATTCCGGCGAGTTAATTACCCCAATAGTCATTGAACTTTATCGAAAGTTTCTACGGGGTCACTGAACTTTACAAAAAGTTTTCCAGATGGTCACTGATTCAGTGACCATCTGGGAAACTTTTTGCAAAGTACAGTGACAAATGGGGTAATTTTAAAGTTCAGTGATGGATGGNTTTCAAATTTGCAACCCCATCCATTACTGAACTTTAATAATCACCCCATTCGTTTTTAAAGTGCAGTGACCTGGTGGAAACTTTCGGTAAAGTTCAGTGACTATTGGGGTAATTTACTCTGATTTCGGCCCATATACTCAAAATTATGACATTATAAATAATAAAGTCTATAAGGTGTACAATGGCCCACGTGATCACTAACATATTGGACATAATCATAGTATCATTATAAACCATACATCTAACTCATAAAATTCGCAATCAAATGAAAGCCCACATAATAGAATTATTCTAACATTCTCCCACTTGGGTAAATATTTAATTGCTATAAAATTGTTAACCTCTGAGTCGGACTACACATGTGGCCACACAAGTATAGCTGCAATGATAACACCTTACACAACATAATCCGATCCAACAAAAATGTTAACATCGAACATGGAAGTCGTTAAACCAATCAACGATGTAAGACCACTCTACAGCTACAAATGTCAACATTCTTATCGACAAGGATCCCCATCCTCCAACCAATGTGGAAGTGTGCAGTATGAATTTAGCACCAAATGTGATCAAAAAATGTGTTAAGTCATATCGATCCTCACAATGCTTCTAATCCAAATGAAGCCACGTCTCTAGAAGAGACTCATCTTATGTCTTTAACTGTCATATCTCGAGATTAAAATAATATCATAATAAAAGACATAAGTCAAATGCATGCTCAAAATAATTTATGGATGGAGGAAAAATATATTTTATTATTGGAAGGGGCTGTACCCAAAAAAACATAGGGGTTGTCTTACATAAATAACTTCCACTAACCAAAAACATCAAATGTTTCCAATACCCATATTAGAAACATGTGCTGTAAAAACTTTTGGAGCGAGTTCCTTAGTTAAAAGATCTGCAATCATTGCCTATGTATTAATATGCTCTATTTTCATCTGCCCTTCCTTAACTCTGTCTCTGACCACTAAATATTTGATATCAATGTATTTCGATCCACTGAAACTTTCAATATTTCTTGAAAAGAACACTGTGCTATTATCACAACAATTAGTGATTGACCTCGAGGTGGAGTCAAGAACTTTCAGCCTAAAAATAAAATTTCTTAACCAAATAGCTTGAATTGTAGCCCCATAACATGCCACAAATTCAGCCTGCATAGTAGAAGATGTCATTAGAGTCTGCTTAACACTTTTCCATGAGATAGCACCACCAGCTAACATGAAAATATAACCTAAGATTGATTTCAAATCATCTTGAGATCCAGCAAGGCGATTTTAACGCTGGAAAGTGAGCATGTAACTTTCAGTTTTCTTTAAGTACCTCATAACTTTCTTAATCGCTCTCCAATGCTCTTGCCATGGATTCGACTGAAACCTACCAAGCCAATTCACTGCTTGCAAGTAAAATGTCATCAACATACAGGACAAGATAAATAAAATTTCTCCCACTGGTTTTAAGATAAATACATTGATCGACTGTATTTTCAACAAAATCAAGAGAAGTCACAACCTCATCAAATTTCAAATACCATTGCCGTGATGCTTGCTTGAGGCCATATAAGGGTTTATTTAATTTGCATACCAAGTTTTCTTTTCCCTTCACAACAAAACCTTCAGGTTGTCTCATGTAAATCCTTTCTGAAAGATCTCCATTTAGAAAAGTCGTCCTAACATCCATCTGATGAAGGTCCAAATTATAATGCGCCACAAGTGCCATGATGATTCAAAAAGAATCTTTGGATGAAACAGGTGAAAAAGTATCATTATAATCAATGTCCTCTCATTGAGTAAACCATTTTGCAACCAATCTCGCCTTCTTTCGTTGAGCATTCCCTTTTTTGAGTTCAATTTACTTTTGAAAATCCACTTGTTATCTATGGCTTTAGCATCCAGAGAAAGTTAAACAAGTTCCCAAACTTTATTCAGTTCCATAGAATTTATTTCATCATACATAGCATTTATCCATTTATGTGACTCAAGACTTATCAATGCTTGATTAAAAGTAACAGAGTCAACAATATGGTATACATTAAAATCACTCCTAGTGGAACCTTTCCTAGTGGATTTAGTCAACTTTCTTCTTATATAATCCACACAAGTGTCAAAATCAGAGAAGTCGTGAGAGGAAGGTATCTCAACTTTAACCAATCTCTCCATTCTATCCTTTGAAATGTGACCAAACCTCTTATGCCACAACATGGAGGATGATTCACGAATTATAGACATTTTCTTTAACACGTTTGCAACACAGGAGACTCACCAAAAGAAGCCAAAGACTATTTATATAAATCATCACATAAGAGACCATTTCCAATTAAACGAGAATCATGAAACAATTCAACTATCCCTTTACCAAAATTAAACAAAAAACCAGAAGCATCAAATTTCGATATAAAAATTAAATTCTGTCTCATTGTCGGTACAAAATTGTATTCTCTAAAATAAGAGAGAAACCAGACTCCAAAGACAACTTCACTACTCCTATGAATTTAATATTCACTTGAACTCTATTCCCAGGCTTACTTCATTCTCACTTGGCCTCCGTTTGCTTGTAAACCCTGTAAGAACTCTTCTTCTTCTCCAACCAAGTCTTAAACTTAAAACAATCTTTCTGTCAATGACCTTTCTTTTTGCGGAACTTCCTTTGATCATTTTTCTTTATCTCTCCTTTAGGACCACTAGAAGTCTGACCTCCAAAATTTTTGTTTTGCTGATTGCGGTGTGACTTGTCGTCTTTGTGGAACTTAGATTTATGGTTATGAAAAAACTCCTTGTTCTATGGTGGTTGAAACACTAATTGCACAGTTTCAACATTTTCACGCCTCAACCTATACTCATCTTGTACACATACAGCAATAAGGTCATTTAAATCTCATTTATCTCTTTGACCATTATAAGCAACATTTAGCTGATTAAACTGGCTCGAAAGGCTATTCAGAACATGATAGACCAGAAAAGGATCAGTAATGTGAATCTTAAGAGCCTTTAATTTAGAAGATATATTAATCATTTTCATAACATGCTCCCTAACTTCACTTATACCATCATATCTCATATTCATCAGTTTGTCCATCAAATTTCCAGTTTCAGTTTTATCAACAAATCTCAATCATATAGTATCCACAAAACCTTTAGCATTTTCATTATCCGGAATAGCACCCATAATGGAATCGGATATGGAGAGCTTAATAATTTTTAAACAAAGTCTATTAGCTCTTTTCCACTTTTCATACTCAGCTACATATTCTGGATCGCTT